CGTTTGCATCATAACGAATGATTGCTTTCACTTCTTTTGGAAGTTTTTGTAATTTTTCCTGTGGAGCTGTGGATCTCAGGCAATTCACTTGAAACTTTGCGCGCATCCAATAGTTAGTAATTGAACTCGAATGATTGGTTTGACTTATAATTATAGAATATCTTTGGGCCAAACCAATTGCAATGTAATTTAATTTCTCAGATGGTTCAATAATTGTTCCTTCGACCTCTATGATTTGAATAAAATGTTCATCAACTGAAAATAAGAATGATGACACCGTACTTTATAAATACTATCCGTGGTTAGTTTATACCGTATAGCTAATGTTACAATGAACTATTAAATATATCAACGTACACACCTTGTATTAATTAATCGAATTCGGACTTTTTTTCTGCGTTTAAAAATAAATTCCGAAAATCGTTCGTTAAATGAACATCCATATTGGTAAGAGCACTCTCCATTTCTTCCATTAATCAATCCAGTATTCGGAATAGGCTACATTATTTTTTAAATGCTTTTAACATTAAATATAAAAAGATTTTTGATTGGAGGAATAAATCAACTTACTTCTGGCGACTGGCTGTCATCATAGGAATTTGAAAGATCGTCGAGATATGCTCGCTTAATTTTATAAGATGGATCATAGTACCAATCGGAGATCATTATCACAGTCTCATAGTCGTATCCAAAAATTTGGTGGTCATTAGGATCCTTTACAATCAACGGACCATATAACCCATCTACCGTTTGTGTCGAATAATGTGCATGGCTATTGTTGAAAATCAACTTTAAATGCATGTTTTATTACGCTTAGTAGAAAAGTATTTTTCTCACTTACTACCAATAAGTTCCTGAATCAGTTACCACGAATTCGTAAGCGAAGGAACGTCCAGGTTTGATGGGGCATTGAGTTACTGTTGACAATCCATCCATGAAAGGAGTCCCAAATTGAGTGATTCCATGCCAATGTATTGATGTATTTTGACTTGTTAATAAATTGTGAACCCAGATTTTTAACCTTTGACCTTTATAAACAGAGATTTCGGGACCAGGATATTTCCTGTTAACGGTTATTACTTTTTTTACGACGCCACCTGGTGCTCTGGTTTCGTTACGAATATAAAGATTTATTATGAATGTTTTATTTAAATTTACGTCCAAGTAGTTAGATATGATATCACCGGTGTTTTCAGAAATTAGGACAGAAGAATTTATGACTATCTTAATTAATATTATTATGTAACAAATCAAATTTTTTATAAATTTCGTTTTCATTTTTGTTTCTTACTTTTTTCTGTTATTGCGACAAAGAGTTCCATTTTATATACAATAGGGCTTGGCTTCTATGTTCATAAACAACAACAATAATAATCGTAAAACCGTGTGTTGTTTGTGGCTAGAGGAAACAGATGAAGCTTCGAATAATAAGCCTTATACAGGGCATCATATTCTTGATAAACTCGCATTTTAGTTCACTCATGTGTTCCAATACATTTGCTCATAGTACAAAATGTGTTTGATTGATAAAGGTATTCTCCTGTTATTACAAAATATCTATAATCAAGAGTTAAATACGGAATAATATATGATTCTTTTTTTTATATTTAGTATAATAGACAATTTATCTAATCTTCGCTCAAAGTTAATAAGTATATGCACTTGTTGATTTACCCATGATCTGGGCGAACCTACGCAGTCACCATCTTAAAGTGCGGATATTAACCGATATGTGTATGATGATTTAAATTTGTACTTTATCGTGTTGTATGTGCGAATATATACGTAGTAAAGCCGGAAAATAATTTTTCGAGCCACGACATTCTATATGCAGTATAGCTTGTTTTGACTAGATATGCATCACATATCTTCTATACAATTTCTTGAACATTCTGTTACGTTTTAGGCATTCTTGAAGATTTCCTTAACGCTTCACATGGTTATAGAACTATAAAACGATTGTGAATACTGTATCCAAGTGGATTCATACATTCTGACACAACTTTGTTATCACCGCTCTATAATTTTCTTCGAGGGTTGTATAACTTGTTATTTTATAACATGTAATTATAAGAAATTTAAATTGATAATAAATTTTATTTACCTATTAGTATCAAATTGATTACGGTATACTCTATTAAACAAGATGAAACAGATGGAATATTATTATTTTTAAATTTTATGAATAATTTTTGGGATTTAAAAAAAGTGTTTCATTTTTTTTATCCATTTTTATAAGCAATATACTAGTTTTTTATCCCGAATTTTCAATAATAATTGTTTTTACCAAGATTTAATTTTTTTAAAAAAATATATCATGAAATAAATTCATGAATGTAATTAAAATATCTACTTTACATAGAATCTATAAATTTGTTACATTCAATATTCTTATTATATTATCTATACTAGTTTGCCTAGTTAAATAAATGTCCTTATCAAAAAATAATATATTGTAATAATATATTATAACATTAATTAAACTAATTATAAACTGAAATTGTTTATGAAATTTTTATTGAAAAATTGTATATTACTTAAAAATATCATGTGTACAATTTTTATAATAAAGTTTTGTATTTAAAATAACAAAATTTTTTTTTAAAGATTTTTTTATTTGTATAATATTTTTGTAAAAAAAAATTAATAATTCTATTTTATATTTGTTTTTATTAATTTAATTTGTAAAAAACCTTAAATCATTTTTAAAATCAATTCAAGCTATTGAATAATTATAAAAAAATTTTATTATAAAACTTGTTATTATTTTTTAATTATAGTTGCAAACTAAATTACTGTTAATTTTTAATTTTAAATATTCACTTAATTTCAAATACCTTATTTTAAATTTAATTATATTACTATTAAACTTATTAAATTTATTTGTTTTATTTGTAAATACAATTGTTTTTAATAAACATATAAGAAAAATTAATTTAACAAGAATTAAATATAAAAATTTTTTATTTCAATTTAATTTAAATATTTTTTTAACCTAGATCTTGATAATTCAAAATTTAAAAATATTTTTAAAAAATATTTTTATTTTATATATAGTTTTTTTATAGATAAATATCAATTTTTTTTATTTGTATATTAAAAAATATATATGATAAAAGAAACAATATTTTTCATATGTATATATAATAAATTTAATACTAACTTGCTTATAGAAACCTGTTATCAATATTAAAAATAAATTTTAAAACAAATTAATAAAAATAATATTTTATAATTAGTTAAATAAGAAATTTTTAATTGATTCTATAAACTTGAATTTGGCTTAGATATTGTAGTAGAAAAGTTTTAACTTTATTTTATTTATATTTTCAAATAAAATTAAATACTTGAGTTAGAACTTTTGTTAATATTTTAACTCATTTACTAAATTTTATTATAAAAAATTTTTGTTAATAATATTATATTCAAGTTCTATTATTTTCTATAAATTGATTATTAGTTTATTATTATTATTAAATTAAAGAACATAATTAATTAAATCTATTATTTGTTTGATTTCTTTGGTTGTAGCTAAGTATCTGATAATATATTATATATTTTCTGTATAATATTTATATATTGGACAATAAGAGTCTAAATATTTCTCTAAATAATATTAATAAAAATGTTTATATATATAAATAAAGTTTCTAATAACAATTTAATTTTGAATAAATTTAAGTTGCTATACTTGTTATTATATATTTTTGATTTTTTATTAAACTTGTTAATAATTTTAAATTTATATGAATTGTAAGTACAGTTTAAAAATTTTAAAATAAAAAGGCTTTTACATTAAATTATTTTTTTTCTTTGTTATTATTAAAGATAGTTTTTTTTTAAATATATTATATAGGTTTTAATAATACTTAATATCTTTTATATTATCTGATATTATTTTTTAATTTATAAGTTATTAAATATTTTCTGTAATATTTTTTATTATATCTTATTTTAGATTACAATTATATTGGTACCAATAAAAAATATTATATACAATATACAGTAGATTGCCTATTTAAAAGTTAAGATTGAGTGGTTTTACTTTAATTTTAATATTTTTACTGTATATATAGTAATGTTATACAAAACCAATTTCTTGTAATATTAATATAAAAGAATTTTAGAAAATATCCATTAATTTAAAAATATATTCATTCTTTGAAGTATATTAATGATTTAAATAATTATATTATTTAGGTTATATTTATAATTATTGAAAAATTTAATGAAAATTTAAAAAGAAAATATTATATTATTTGTAAAAATAACAATGCAATAGTTATTAAATAAGATTTCTAATATAAAATATTTATTATATATGAATAAGTTATTATTTAAGTCTATTCTTTAATATCTTTATATATATATATTATTAGCAGAAAAAAGGTATAGGTCGCTAGAATCGATTTTGTCACATAATATAGTACAATTCATTGGACTTAGCATCAAGAAGTCTAAATAATTTAAGTGGGTATTTGCAGAATGCGACGGTAGATCAGTCTATATGTCACGACAGGTATAAATAAGAGAGTTTAGCTAGTTAAAATAGGAAGAAACTATCAATATTGTATAAACTTGTAATACTTGTAATTGCGTCGCTATAATTAATAAACTTACCTTAATTGGATATTAGTCACTGTAGGAATTCTAGAAGCCCATAAAGAATTGTATTGCACCACTATAATTAATAAACTTATCTTAATTAGATATTAGCCACTGTAGGAATTCTAGAAGCCTATAAAGAATTGTGGTAGAGGATTAGAACGGTGACTAGAGAGAAGGAAATTTATTAACAAGTGCTTCTGGCTCTGGATAGCAAGTGACACAAGCCTCTATATACCTATCATTACACAACAACCTAATCTGGATTAGCGACAGACTTGTCATGTACCGATAACATTTGATGAAGAACTATAGTAGATTCAATTAGAAATAACATTAGTTACCTCCTAATAAAACTGTGTAAACAACAGTTACGCCAATTTTAGAAAGGACTCATGTTAATTAAAAATTCTAATTATTTATCAAAACAAGACTTACTTCCTTTATATCTATACAAGGACCTGTGACATCGCCGTGATCAACATTGATTACTAATTAACAGCAATAATGATAGAAGTTATATACGATATAAATAATGAGAGAATCCCTTTTGCTTTGCGACAACAATATGTCTGGAAAACAGAAAAGAAAGCCTTCGCTAACCCAGAAAAAAAAAGAATGACTATGATGTTAGAATGACCAAATTCAATGGTGAAGAGGGAGAAGACCTACACTTGTGGATGAAACTTTATGAAAAGGTCACAAAAATGAGAGGATGGACAAACAATAAAAAGCTAAGAAGAGTAGTGATATATTTGAGAGAAATTGCAGCAGACTGGTATGACGACTGCCAAGATCGTTTCATCTATGGAAATAATGATGATGATTACGAAAGAAGTCTTGTGCCAACGTTCATACAACACTTTGTGACACTAGAACAACAGTGCCAATGGCAAAATGAACTAGAAAACATAGAACAAGGAAAAAATAAAAAGGTATTCGAGTATATTTGTAAGTTCGAGAAACTACTTGAGAAAGTCTACCCTAACGGAAACTACTATAGAAAACCAGCGGAATGGCTGCTCGTAACTGGGTTAAGAAAGAACATATTGTTTTTACTGGCCATAATAAATGCAACCGATCCAGAAAAAGCTCTCAGGATAGCAGTGGAAATCTAAGATAATGAGGAAAGAAAAGTGAGTAAGATAAAAGAATTAGAGAATTATGTGCAAAAGTTACAAGATCAAACATGAAGAAAGAAGGTTGCACCGGAATTGAAACAAACAAGAGAAGATTGAGACTATCAGAAGTATAAGGAAGATTATAATATCAGTAGCTACTGGAAGGGAACCGCTAAGGAGTACCCAGTGAAGAACCCAATCTTAAATGATGAGATCAAGAAGGTACTAACTGACAAAATCAATAATAAGGGACCTGACAGGAACACTTGGTGGAATGAAAGTTTGTATAAGAAAAGAAAAATAGATAAGGATGAAGTATAGTTGATATTCTTTAATGATAATGAAGGGAAAGTATTATAAAAAGTGAGTAGTAGTCTCGACTTCGATAATGAAGTATAACCAGAGATCCCAGAACCAGTCGCGTGGTCATTCCAATCAAAAGAAACACTGATGATAACTGAAAGGAATAATGAGATCAATAAAACTGAGAAGCAGGGTGTGAGTAAGTCAGAAGATAAATATGGATCAATAAAAGAAATAATTGTGAAAGAGAAAGATGTTGTGGTAATAGAAGAACTGCTGACAACACATTAGAACTGAGAAAAGATTGATGAGAAGAAAGAAAAGGAATTAGAAGGGCAATGCAAGCCAGTAAATATAATCACGAGAGAACTAGACACTGTGCAAAGGGAAGAGCTGCCAATACTACATGACAAAGATGAAAAAGTGATAATCAAAAGAGAAATGACACTTACAATCACATGGGAATGAAAATGCTGTGAGATAAAACTTCTAGATTCCGTAGCATCCCTGAGTCATAACAACAACTAATAGAAGTACTTATACAAGGATTTAGAAGTAAGCTTATGAAAACCTACTCGATGTCTTTGTTAAATTAGCACTTTGCACAATGATGACAATTTACAGGACGGTGTGGACAAAGCATTCCGTAAAAGAACTCCTGATCAAATATGAAAATGCAATCACAAGTACCATCCAGAAACTTGAGTGTAACATAGTGCAATGTAATGATGATATCTTGAGCAGTTGCAAAATATAGCAAGAGGCTAAAGAAGAATCACAAGACCAATGTGAATGAATAGAAGCAGCATTAGCAAAAAAAAAGATGCCGCTTCAGTAGGTTAACCTTCAAAAGTGTGTGAAGGAGATCAAATCGTGAAAAAGGAGATGAAAGCCAATGATGACCTGGAGAAAGAACAAATAGCAAGACGAGATCAGGACACTTATACAAGAATAATTCAAGTAATAGGAAGCTCTAAAGTAATATAACAAATAGTTGATACCAAATATGATACCTCGATAAAACAAAAGCTGCACAAGAATGGTCAGGATATGAGAGAAAGGATTGTAAAGAGAAAGATAATATCAGTAATTACATGGAAAATGCATGCACTGGTCAAGAGACATCAGGCTGTGTAGCATTATGACACTAGGGCAGCAACTAATAAACACACTTGGCTGCAAGTTAAGAAGAAAGTGAATAAAGGCACACTCTGAGGTCTTCAAAAATTAGCAAGTTGCATGATGATGATAATTTGTAAAATAGTGTGGACAGCGGGTCCAGTAAAAGAACTTCTAATCAACTTGACCAAGAGTACTGTCTTGAAACCTGAGTGCAAGAAAATAATATGATGTATCCTTAATTGTGATAATAATATTCTGAATGATTAGGAAGAACACAAGATCATACCAACTCCAAGGAAATTTATCGACAGAGTAGTGATGGTGATAACTAATATAGAACACTTACTTGTATGATATGATACCATCAGATGTAGACACTTGCTTGTGATGTGCCAACAATGAATGATCACACTTTGGTACAAGGCCGTGGAACCATAGATGGCATGGAATCTAAATATGGCTATTATTCAAGCTGAGCTCAATAACATCACTGTGACCGGAAGAGTATATGTCATGGTTTATACAATTCATATTAAGCAAACAAAGGTGAATGTGTAGTGAACAAACCAGTCTGTGAGAAAGCCCTGGAGTACCTACTTGTCATATAATTTGAAATAGAAAATTAGAGAAGACAGCAACAAATCAGCCATGCCAAATCCAGTAAATGCATGTGCCAACGATACTAGTATTAAACAAACCAAGGCAAATGAAAAACAAGTGAATTAACAGATAAAAGTGTTGCAGGATCCCAACATCTTCTGTCACACAATACAGTATTAGCATGAAAAAATGTATAGGTTATTAGGATCTCTGATAGTCATGTAACATGGCGTGATCTATTAGGCCCTGCATCAAGAAGCCTAAATAGTCTAATCGGAAATTTGCAGGATGTGATAGTATATCAGCAAACACGTCGCAACGGATATAAATATGAATGGATTAGCTAGCAAAATAAAAAATTAATATTCATATTGTATAAACTTGTATCCATTGTATTTGCATGAGTATAATTAATAAACTTACCTTAATTGGATATTAGCCACTATAGAAATCCTAGAAGCCCATAAAGGATTGTGGTAGAGGATTAGATCAGTAATAAAAAAGAAGGGAGTTTATTAACAAGTGTCTCTGGTTAACAAGTGACACATGTCCTATATACCTATCATTATATGAAGACCTAGTTCAGATTAACGACAGACTCGCTGTGTACTGATAACAATAGCAATTTGGGGAGGCCAATCAAGTTACCACAACTATCAGTGTATACAAGTTAGCATTCAAGGAAACAATCAATGATGTTACCTACCATAAAGAATTTGATATCGGAAGACTAACCGAGACGAAATACCAAGTTACCATCAATAACAACAATAACAACGAAAAACAAAAAGCATGTCATGACAATAACAAAGATCTAGCAAAACTATTCAACATTGGTAATAGAGTACTTATGTATCGTGTAGCACCAGAAGCCTCAAGAAGCAGCCAATATACTGAAAATAAAATGGTCTGTATTACATGCAGGTTACATTTACCCAAGATACTTATAAGTCACGGACTATTGATAGACAAGTTCTGGCAAGCCTCATCAACCCAAAAATTCAGAAATAATATTTTGAACCGACAATATAAAATGATAATATGTACGGGAGCACATAAAATAAGTGTGGTGGAAGTGTTAGCAGGGAAAAAGATATGGGTCGCTGGGATTGACGTTTGTTACATAACATGGCACGATCTATTGGACTCAGCATCAAGAAGTTTAAATAGTTTAAGTGGGGATTTGCAGGATGCGACGGTAGATCTGTCTATGCATTGCGGCAGGTATAAATAAGAAGGGTTTAGCTAGTTAAAATAAAAAGAAACTATTGATATTGTATAAACTTGTAATACTTGTAATTGTGCCACTATAATTAATAAACTTATCTTAATTGGATATTAGCCACTGTAGGAATCCTAGAAGCCCATAAATGATTGTGGTAGAGGATTGGACTGGTGACTAGAAAAAAGTGAGTTTATTAACAAGTGCCTTTGGTTAGCAACAATACAAGCCCCTACATACCTATCGTTACGTGACAATCTAGTCTGGATTAGTGACAGACTTACCATGTACTAATAACAATATTAGGATACTTATAGATTATAACTATATAATTAATATTATTTCAAAGTCAAAAGATTAATTTGAAGTTGGATGTTGATTTTGTAATCTTAGAATCTTCTTAACATTTGAAAAGTTTTTGAACTAATTAGACTCAAGACTAGAACAAATTATATCTATATAAAATCAAGTTAAAACTATAAAAAATTTTTGGAATTATTAAATTTTAGTAGTTAATTATTGAACCTGATTTAAAATATATATAACAATATCAAAAAAAAGCAAATATAACAATTTGTATAAACAGTAAAGCAGCAATCTAAGACATTACAGAAACCTAAGGAAGAAACAAACATAAAACATATATATCAAATTGGATCACAATTAAACATATCAAAAGCACAATTAAGGAAAGAACAGGGAAAACAAAGCTGTTAAAAGTGAAAGCACACTTAGAAATAGAAAGATATAATGAGGCAAATAAATTGGCAAAGAAAGGTAGTAAAACATATAAAGAACAAAAGATCAGAATTTATCTAGAAACAAAAGATATATACTACCACCTGACAGGGGAAAACATTGCCCTCGATATCGATATCAACAGTCTAATCAAAAGACAACAGAGTGCTAAATGGTCAGCAAGATGAGTAATACAGAACAGGCACATGGCCTGAATTGCGAATAGAAGAGAACCAGAAATGGATTGGGATATAACATTTCAAATCAAACAACCATCAGAAATAATCAGTGGCAAAACAGACAAACAAGATCACAGTAGCAGAAGCTTCAGATATAGAATTTTAAATAAAGAAATGCTAATATATGACAGGATAAGAACAAGAATGCCAGATCTGTATGCAAAAGCAATATGTCTATATTGCGACAAGAAAGAAACATTACAATATCTCATACATGAACACTGGAAGAAAAAAATTACTGAAGAATACAACAAGGCAATCAGACGAGAAACAAGTGCCTAAAGCAAGAAGAAGGAAAACACCACAAGGAAAATTCAAACAAACTACAAGCTCATAGATTCAAAACATATAATAACTGATAATAAAAGGAGTATTCAAAACCAAAAATTGTATAACAGGAAATTTTTAAATAAATTTTAGTTTTTACACAATTACAGTATATTATACGCTATCTATAACAACAATTTTATCCTGATCTAATTTAATCTGTTTAAAACTTTAGCAATTAAAGATCGCCAATCAGATGTTACATTTTTTGGGGGGTCACCAGTAGTAATTGAACTCTTTTGTCAGAAGTCGGAAAAGAATGTGAACAAAATTACTAACTAAGGAGTCATTAAGAACATAAGTGTCGTTCTTAAGAGATGAAAAACTTTTATCACCAGGCATAGTGTATTTAATAAACCATTAATTTTTAGAGTGAAAGCATTTAGAAGATTTCTGTCAGAATCAGAAACACAATAGGCATCAGCATTCGAAGGTGCGCAGATCGCATTATATCACGTGATTTAACTCGCTGATTAGCATGGGTGTCATTTATACAGTATTTTAATACGCCTCAAGGTTTTGACGTAGTTTACGTTGCTCTTCTCTTTGCTTTTACGCATTCGAAGAATATCACAAATAGGTCGGGTCTCCATCACACAAACTTGGTCACAAGATAAAAAGTGTAATAATAAAAAGTTCAAATCTTGCTTTTACAAAATTTTATTAACATAATATATAATTTTATCTTATTAATTTTTATTCGGAGAACAAAACAATCATCTGCATATAAGATAGTGATATATAACAATGAATAAGAAAAGCTTGCCGTAACAACTTTGGTATGACTTGTGTACATTAGTCAGCGATATACCAATAGAGCAGATAGACTCGAATAAAAATACATCTTCCTTTTTGATTTACTTTTTTTGTAACGTGATAGCAACATATTCGCTGAGTAATGCCAAAAATAGTAAAAAAGAAACGACTCTAGCTGTAAATTGTATGTGCCATGCAAAGTTTTAAGTGGTAATACATTTAGAAAAAACATAATAAAAGGAGAGCATAACAATGGAATCGGCTACGAAATACAGAACACACGGACGCATCACCGTTACTCTTCCATTAAATGTTCTCAGCCATGCTAGATATATTTTTTAATAAGATAGATCAAGATTTTAATTAATTACTGCGAAAACTTACATTTTTTACGTTAATGCAAAATTGTTCGCGGCATCAAAAAATCAATATTTTTATCTTTCTTGATTATTTGTATTGATAGAATTTACATCTGTCACTACAGTACCTTTGAAATTGAATCCAATACGAATAAATATTTACTATGCATTTTGTCTTCCATATAGACACAATTCCCAAAGTCAGGCTAAACCTGACCCTTTGTGAGCAAAATATTTCTGGTATCATTCGCGTCCCAACATGTCTTTGATGAACTCTCTCAACCTAAAATGCAATCAAGTTACATTGCATAAGCAGTCTTTGGCAAAATCTTCGATTGTTCTTCAAAATCATCCCCGAAGACTCGAACTTGGAATCTCGATCAAATTACAGATTTGTTGTATGATCGATAGCATCTTTTTTCTCAATCGGAATTTCTCTTTTGTTTATTCTTCCGAAAGCAAAATTTTTGTCTATCATATTTCTTAGATAAATTAAATATTTTGTCAAAACAACCATTACCCTACTCGATTAATTAACCGTCAAGGTCATAACTGAGCATAAACGTGTGAACACCTGGATCGAACGAGATTATAATACTCGAACATAATTGTTCTGAGATGATAATATTTTTTAGGGACGCTTATTTCACTTTGTAATATTTCAACCAGAATCAAGATGTTTGTATTCGATCCTTCTTTGATCACAAAAGTACTTCCATAGGAGTCTCTTTTAATAAGATGTTGTAATGCACTCATCGTTCAGGTAATTCTTTAGAACCTTTTTTGTGTGTCCATATCATAGTTTCCATCTACTCTCTAGCTTTTCTCTTTTTTCGGGTATTAGGTAAATCCGAATCTTTTGCGATATAATGACAATTATGGTGTCAATGTTACCTTCAGCCGATTGTGGCATGACGCGAAAGTAGCAAAGATTGATAATAGTTATATATTTATTCTAATAGGCTATAATTAATTTAAGTTCATTAAATTCGGTATCATCGATATCATCCAAACCGAGACTGCGATCGTTGATCTTTATACTGCTCTCGTCATGGTATTAGCTTGTCGTTTACGTTTCCAGTTGAGACTTGACCCAATATTTCTGATGAGTTTGTGATCTGGTTATTTCTGCCCGAGGTACATGCATTGCCCGTTCAAGATCCTCTTTCTTTTTCTCAAAGCTAATATCTGCGTAAAAAATTTTTCTGATCTCGTGTTACACGATACTTTACTTTATACTGTAATATACATATCTAGCTCAAATACAGTACTGTACTGCTGTGCGATCACGGTAACATGTATTACAAGATTACATGCAGTAAAAAAAAACAATAAAATCAATCGTGTAACGCAGAGCGTCAGAAAAATACAACACTCACTGCTTTTTCGTTAACATTTAGAGCGTACTCAAAGGTATAAAATATTTATTATTTTATATCACATTATTATTTAATGCATTTATTTCAAATTATATTAGTAATGAAA